TGTAAACAAATGCCTATTCTCCTTATTTGACACTCTAGGGGTAAAATAATACCACCCATTCTCCTTCCTACTTCCCCCTTTAAGAACAAAAAAGTATTTGAACATATTTACAGTTGACACCCTAACCCCCTGAGCTCGGCAATACACTAAAAACCTTATTATTACCCTCATAGCATTGGGGGCTAGTTGCGTCAACCCTATGCTATAATCTAACAATAACCCCATTAGGAGTTCAGCAATGGGAAACCTACACCCCGCTGCCAAATAATGGGCATACATAAGCATCCAATGATCTCGAGGTGCAGAGCATGCCCTTTCCTCCATAGCAACAGGCTTAATTAGAACTCGAGAAGAAATTTCATAAGTCTCTCTTAAATAACCCAAGCTATCCCTGGTCCTAAGTTCAGACTCATACTCCTTAACCTCAAACACGATATCTGCCTCAAAATCATAACACCTTTCATTTCTACCTCCCACTTCTAATACAATTACGGGAACCCCTTCTCCCTGAACCCCAGCCATCTCACTTCCTCCTACCCCTTCCTCCGTCCTCTCTAAGTCAAATGACTCACTAGTCATATCCACGTCACCATACTCCAAAGCCCTTACTTCCTCACTTCCCCCAACGCTCAACATTTCCTCAGAAGACATCTCTTCAATTTCGCAACTTTTACTGCACGAAGTAAGGGGGGAATGAAGTTAGGATCTTCAAAAAAATCTAACTCATGCCCAATGTCACTCTCACTCCTAAAACTAACCTCGTTCAAAAGACTTAGATCTAAATCAAAAAGATGAGAAGAGAATAAAACTCATCACTAAAATCTGAATCACTAAAATTCATACGTTATTTGATCTTAGTCTTGTAAAATTGGTGTAGAAGTCCACAAAGAATGCAAAAGTCCCGACGCAAAAACACAGTAGAAATTTTGGTAACACTTCGGTAGAAAACACAACAAAAGTAAAACCCTTTTTACAGAAATATAGCTATATATACCAAAGCAAATATATACTTCAACAGTTGTGATTAATTTCATCTGATGGTCACGGTTAAACTGTTTCAAATTTAACAGTTAATCCCTAATGGAAACCTCTCGAATTTGACGATTCGTTTTCCATTCCATCTGTTTAACTGTAGCAGTTACTTTTTTCAGCCCATATTTATTATACACATCTTTCAAAAGACAATTGTCACGTCACGTACTAACTCTACGTCAGGCTTTTTAGATAGGCGCAATTAAGCCCAACCCAATAGTTCTGTTCACTTTCGCATGAATGTCTTTCAATTTTATAAGTGTTTTACCTGGGGCAACCTCCACCTATACTTTTTGTCTCGGCTCCGGCCACAATGACTACGGTTGTCATTTGTTACCCCGGCTTCGGTCATAGTGACCCCTGTCGCATATTTTATCACGACCTTGACCGCAATGACTTCGATCATTACTTTTTATCTCAGTTCCGGCCACAATGACTATGGTCATCATTTGTTACCCCGACTTCGGCCATAGTGACCCCATGTCACATATTTTACTTCAACTCCTACCATGGTGACCCCATGTCACATATTTTACTTCGGCTCCAGCCATAGTGACCCCATGTCACGTATTTTACTCCGGTTTCGGCCATAAGTGAATTTCAGTCAACAATTTTTATTTTAGTTATACCTGCAATAACTCAACTCTAATATTCTCTCATTTATCTTTCCAACTAATTACACACTACTCTTACCACCTTTCACAACATCATTCACAAGTGAATGACTTCGAGGGGGAATAGTGTAAGGATAGGTTTGAGGTTCTTAACCCCGAACGTACTGCTATAGTTCCTTTATAACCAATGTGAAGTTAAATCCAGCCCTTGCTGATTAAATAGCTATGTGACAAGTACAATGAACATGTCCACATCTGATTTTGCACACATGATTTCTCAGTCCTGAAATTATCGCATGAGGGGACACGTCAAACTCCAATTATCTTGTTAAGCAAGCCACGTGAACACCTCACTAAGGCCTGTAAATACCTCACAGTGGCCACCTCAAAAAAGTAATTGAAACCGACCTAAAGCTCTTTTTTCCATTATTCTAAAGGTAGATCTGATTATTGCTGACTTAAGTATCGGAGTGTCTAGCCCGAAGATCCACCTCAAGGCTTTGCAAGTATATCCCAAGTGAAGACACGGACTAAAGAAAGATTTCCGGTTTGGTGCAATTACAAGTTATAAAAAAATAAAAATAAAAAATTTAACATCATAATTATGTTAAACGGAGTCCCATTTTGCGTTTTTTGTTGTAATGAAGAAATCAAAGAGTTACAATGACAATGTATTTTTGAGGGATAAAGTTGGTTTTTTTTTTTTTTTATCAACAAAAACAAAATTTTATTACTAAAAGTACAAGGTATTAATCTATTCATGTAATTACTAAAAAAAATAAAACTTAAACTTTCCATACAACCAAACAGACAAGATAATGGTTTTAAAATAATTCTTCAAGTTGTTGCACTTCGGAAGTAAGTGGGATATCTGCAATCTATCATAGAAAGTGGATTCATAACTTTTCGAAGCAAACAAACAAACCCCAAGAAACCGAAGATTCTGCTGCCTAATATCAGAATCAAAGAGCAATGAGACAGCTGATTGAATGAATAAATAAATAACCCCGCACACAAAATGATGCATTAAATCCAACATGGAATGCAGGCATGGTTATTACCACAAATCAATGTGTTAAATCCCCCACAAATTGTTAATATTATTTGAAAAAAAAAAACTTTATTTGGTTTGATTGTTAACCATAATTGATATTTATTAATTAATAAATTAAAATTAATTTATAGATTGATGATTTCAAATATCATAAGTTCATAATTAATTGTTTAAGAAAATAAATTGTAAATTAATAAAATATTAATAAAATCAAACAAATTTAGCATAATTTATATGATCTTAATACATCATTGCGTAGTCAAAACTACACTGGTGCTAGTGCTTCGAAAACCAAACCATAAAGTATATATTAATAAATTTGTTTAAGATGTGTATTAATTATTTTTTTATGATTTTTTTTTCATAAATTTGTATAAGAAACACAAAATTAAATTTATTTTCAACACTAATAGTATAAATATAATTTTAATTAAATAATTAATAAAATTAAAGTTAAACTTTTATTTTTCCATACCAATTGGTTAGAAAAACCCAATACTAATAAGTACTCATCCAAAATTCGGAGAACGAATGGATAGTCATAGAAGATGAATGGAAGTGCAGCTATGAGATTAATTAAGGGAGTGTTTGAAACTCCAAAAAAAAAAAGAGGGAGGAAAGAAAGAAAAGCTCATCAAACGCCTCCTAGTAACTTAAATGTGATTATTGGCCTGGGAATATTATGTAAAGTAAACCCCAAAGTTTTTTTTTTTTTTTTAAATCACAACGGGGAAATTCCATTTACAAAGCAATGGTTTTGATTATTTCATTTTCTACGGTAGTCCTCTGAATTGAAAGCACACATTTACAAACTCATGGTAAAAAGCAGTAGCATGAAGGAAACCCCAAGCTGTCACCCACCAGACTAAGGGCAAAGGGGTTCGACAAGGGCTAGTCTCTGGCAGCCCAATTGGGACCCGCCTGTCGGAATTATTTCTTAAATGTGGCCATATGCCACGTCAGTAAATTAAACAAAATTAATTTAATTAATTAAGATAATTGTGATATCATTTGAGAGATTTTCTCCTACCAAGGAAACCCATGTACAAAGATTTTTAAGATACACTTTTTTTATGGTAAAAAGTTGTTATTTAACAGTTCAATTGATGGACTCCTAATCTAATCTACAACCACGCGTGATTTTTTCCATCAGGTCATCAACTTCCAATTTTCAAAAGGCAATAGATTAGAAGTCTCTATCTTTTCTTAATCCTGTTTTCCCGCTTAATTCCAAAACACCAATCCATTTTTTTACTATTGAAAAATTACATTGTATAATTATTATCTTTTCTGAAGCCTTGCATTGCTTAACTTTGATTTTCTTGTAAAAGTTTTATTGTTAATATAATGTAACAGTAGTGTAAGACAAAATAATTAGGATGATCTATTTAGACTGCATTAATTCTTGAACAACAAAGGCTGGAAGTTAGTAAATTTAAATCCGCTACCTTTCGAACATATTTCTAACACTAGCTACTTGCCTTGTGGCCCTTATCCATCCCAAGCTTAATCCAAAAAACACCCTTCCAATTCCCAACATGAACATTCATTTGTTAATACGCCCTTTGGATTATTCGCAGAGGTTAGTTTGCTTTAATTGTTTTTTTTTTTTAAGAAGTAGATACTAAATGTAATGGACACACCTCAACTATTTAAATAATTTAGTGATAATATTTTTTATTAAAAATAAAAAATTTTAAATTTGAATCATATAACATATAAATAAAGTAAAATAAAAAAAATAAAAAAATTATCTCTCTTCATATAATCAATATAAAAAAATATAATAAACACACCTGACCATTAAATTTAATAAAATTAGTCACCTTAACAAGTGAATCCTCTCGCCCTTGGAGTTGGGTTCGATCTCCCACCCCCATTCCACACTTGTAAAAAAAAAAATAATAACTAGATGCAATGGACGGTGCATTACTGTTTTTTTGAACTTCAGTAGTATTTTGTGTTTTTTAGTCAACATCACCACATCAATTCCTAGGAACTTCCTGGACAGGGATCAGAGTGGAAGACTTTTTTTTTTTGGTACAGGTGGAAGACTATTTTTTGTTAGTTAATGGTTGCACCTGCAAAGTACTGTAGTTGACAGTTTAAAATGGGATCTTCCCTATCACATGGGGTCCCGATCAGATAGATCCAACACAAACAAGTAATCATCATAAAAGCTGCAACAGCACATGTTGTCCCTAATAATTTCCGGTCGGCAGGCATTTTTGAGAAGGCATTTTCTTTTCTCTTTCAAATTTTCAAAATCACGCTTGAATTGCACCTAAAGATGATGTGATATATATATATATATATATTTTTCATTTTATGGGTTATTAGAACTTTTCAATTAGAGGTAAATAAAGATTTTCTGAAAAATTTTAAGTACTATTTTTTAGAATAATATTTACTAATTTTTCTTTTTAAAGTTAGTTATAATTCTTTTTTGAACTTAAACCTTTGTTCGAGGATTAACCTTGTTTAAACTATTATTGCATAAAATCCTCAAAAAAAAAACTATTATTGCATAAACACCCATGAGTTCGAAGCAAGTTGGGAGATGGTGTTTGAATCCTTAGAAGGCTTTCCTCCGCCCTTGTCCCACTTCCAAGATACCCACAGATGTTTAAACCTTGTAGCAAAAACATACCATTTTCACTATTTTTTCCTATGATCATCTTTTATCATGAATAATTACAACATGATATTTTGTTTTAAGGGATTATAAAAAAATTAAGATTTATTGATAATTACAATATTTAAAGTTATTTAAAAATTTTAAATATTTTTAATAAATTAACACATAAAAAAATTTATTAAAATATTTAAATAATAAATAATAATAAATAAAATAAAATTTTAAAATTAAAATTAAATATTAAAACGTAAATTATATCACGTTATTTAAATAAAATATTAAAAAATAAATTTTATTTTATTTAATAATTAATTTTTTATTTTTTAAATCATAATATTATA